AATAGCGAACCTGAACCAATACTATTTTTAGGTATGTCAAATATTCGAAAGCTCCAAGGTGTTTCCGAGCCAAATAAAAACTAGTTTCACATAAAGTTACATGGGAAGACCTATGTTATTTCAACATATAGCAAGGCCCCAGTAGCTAAGGATCTGCCAAAAGAAGAGCAGATCCTAGAGGATTCGCATGATTTAGCTCAAGTATTTACCGATTCCTCTAGCCTGACTAGTGAAGATAATTTAAAAAAAAGTATGTAAATTGTATGGATTATGGAGATATGACAATTCGTATGAAAGAGCTTGAAAAGATATTATTTTCTAGTATTCAATTGAATTTGGAAATCATAAAATACTATAATAATTTGCTTGACTGATATGAAAAGATTTTTCTAGAACCAAATAAGGTTGAATAATTATTTAAAAACAAGAGCATGACCAGATGCTCTAATTTTCTCTATTTCAGAACTAGTTCTCTTATACAAATCCAAGACATCTTCAGAAGATTCGGTAGATAAAATAGAATCAGAAACATGAACAGTTTCGGTTCTCAATTTTTTTCTCCAGTCTTTTCACCTTACTATCTGAAACAATATTCTCTTCCAAAGCTGAATCAGTAGATTTGCTAATTTTAGTATCATGTATCTTATTTTCCCATGCTGTGAAGGCAGAATCGAATTTATTAGCATCATGATTGGAATCTTCACTTAAGCTAAGTATATTAATATTTGATTGCAATGCCTCTTCTCTAGAATCTATTAGTAGATGATTCCCTCTCCATATTTGATATACACGCCTTGTTGATATTTTGTATTTGCTTGCCATAGCTTCTGATACACATTTCATTAAATTTCTAGTATTAATGATATTTTGTATATTATCATCAGATAAAGGAGTTGTATCAGATTGCAGATATCGAACTTTTTTTTCTAAATTCTGTAACATGATATATTTAAAATAAAAAAATATTTAGATAATAATTCAAAAAAAATTCAATACTGTTTTGATATATATCCAATTCCTGTTCGGTATTTCTAAACCATTTGGTTAACATCTGAACCTATTTCAGTATTTCTGAACCATTCGGTTAATATTCGATCCTATTTTGGTAAAAATTCGATTTAGATATATCAGTTAATATCTAATCCTTATTCGATTTGCTATTCTTTTTAATTAGTATTTGATTAATATCTTCAGTCAATATTCAATTGGTATGACCACAAGCAATACAATAAAAACTTACCATATCTCGTGATTCAATAGAAAGCTGGATATTGTGAGATTTAATCTGAGAATATAGAGACATTGTATCAGACGATTTCTCATTTTTATTGGGCACTGTGTTATCTATTGGCAAATCAGTACTTAAATTAATAAAGGTTTCGGTTATAAGATTCTTTTTTTCTACTATTAAATTTTCAGTTATTTGAGTCTGATTCGAAGAAAACATATTTTGTATAGGGTCAATAGGATGTTCTTGCCCTCTCCATATTTAATAAATACGCTTTAATGATGTTTTATACTTACTCATCAGCTCATTTAAAATTTTATATCTTGGTTTTATATTACGACACTGCATAATATAAGAATAATTTTCAGGAAAAAACAGAGGTGCATCAGATCTTAAATATCTAGTCATAGTTCTACTATATATATGATAATCGATAGTTTGTAAATTATAGGTATTATTAATATTAGTTATCTACTATTTAATTTATTTTTAGCTATTAATAAGGATATTAATGAAAAATTTTACTCATAAATTTTTTAAATATATTTATGACTAAGTTGAAAAAAAATATATCCAATGTACACACCTTAAGAGATACCGAGAATAGAAAGGTTCTGGAGGGGCCAGGTCATCGGCTTGGTAGTATCCGTAAATCAGAACTTGAGAAAGTATTACGCAATAGCATCAAAACTGCTTCTGATATTGCTAATGAATATAAAGACCTCCAGGGCGTATATTTAAAACAAAAAGAGGATATTGTGCTAGTTAAGTGTATTTAAAATGATCTAGATCACTCGCATGAAGAAAATAAGCATATGCAAAATGATCTAGATCACTTATATGAAGAAAATATGCATATGCAAAATTTTATAAATCAAATTATCCCCCCAACTAAGCAACTAAATGATTTGAATAATAAGCTTGGCTCTCAAATTACTTGCAAATGAAAGTTTTATGCTAATATTAATGCCAAGCAGTTAAAAGAAATAGAATTACTAAAATCTGAGATTAAATTAAAAAATTCTGAAATTACCTTCCTTGAGGCTAGAATAAATGAACTAGAGGTAGAGTTAGAACAAATAGCACAAAAAGCCTTATTAAAGGGTACCGATACTATCCTGTCACTTCAAGAGATTAAAGTGAAGGAATTAAAAAATGAACTAGAGCAAGTTACACAAAATTTATCATTAAGGGATGGATTAATTTTCTGTCTCTGATCTAGGGTAAGAGATTTGGAAGATGAACTAGAACAGATCTCTCTAAAATCAGATCCGTCATCTAATGATTCAAAAGCAGGTGGTAATGCAGTAGAAGAGGTATCCAGTTTTTCTAAGACCCTCTTTTTCTTCACACCGTTCAAAGCTTGAACCTGATAAAAGCAAAGTTAAAGATATAGTGGAGTTCCCGATAGAGCATGTTAATCAAAATTCAAAAAAGAAACTTGATAGTATTTCAACCTTACCTATTGTTACATTAGGGTTGGCAATGCTTTAGTTAATGATCAGTATATAATTCCACCTATATTCAAGCTTGTTATTTTAGCCTTAGTGATAATATTAATTATATGGTATATATATAGACAAATTTTTCAACTAAGCAGAAAGAAAGAAATTTTTTATCCAGTTTATAGAAAACAGAGTTATAGATATCTAATCCATTATACAAAAGAATTTAAAAACAGAAATACCTCCTATGAAACTTCGTCTTTTGGATATAGATAAAGTTACAAAGTATGAATCATCCTGAAATATTGGTCATCCAGTGATGACATGGCTTTTCAGTATGCTAGTCAGTGGGAGGAGTGGTACAGGTAAGACTAATTTACTTGCGAATCTTGTTCTTGGTGATAAGGATGAATATGTGCAAAGAGAGAAAAAGGGTGGGTCTCGCTACATTAAATGTGACAATCTAATTATTTGGCTCGGAAACACCTTGGAGCTTTCGAATATTTGACATACCTAAAAATAGTATTGGTTCAGGTTCGCTATT